TCGACTCTGTTGCATATGTGGTATTGCTTGAGAACAGGCCAGCTCGTCACAGCAGGCAGAAGTCGAAGCAGTCTTTCTCATGTAACATGTCCATATACAAATGACTAGAAGAGGGATGACCATGGACAGAATGAAAAGCAATCAATGATTTCTTAATGTGATGAGTTGCCGGAATAATCAAGAATAGTTCCAAGAAGAATAGAAAACTTGAATGTGTCATAAAATGATGAAGCTGATGGGAGCTATCTCAAACTAGCAAGATCTGACAAATAGCCGGAGATCTTGCAAAACGTCGTCGGTTTATGAGAAGTTTTCGAAACAAGACATCTGGTGTTTTCGTGCAACAGCGAGAATACAACAAGTCACACTCACCAAAACTCTTTGATATAGTTCATCAATAACAGAAATCCTCGCACCTTTGAAGCGCCATCACAACCCTATTTTTTCCACGGCGTTGAAAATATTTTGGTCTTATAGGCTGGTGGTGGAACATCTGAGACGCAAAGTTCTGTTTGGCCTCCCCTGAAGCCCCTTTGCATCCAACCACTGAAAAAGCACGGCATGATATGAGGATGTTTGCGACATGACAATCGCAAAGGACTGATACACGTCAAGTTGGCAACCTTTTCGGTTGCGCCGCTCCTCAGCAAATCAATTTGATCCAGCATGGGGCTGTCTGGGATGCTAAATTTACGCGAGAAAAAGTTCAGGGAGAGAGCAATGTTGTCCCAAAAGGGCCAAAAACCATTCGGCTCTCGCTTGTCGACGATATATGGATGTTGTATACAGAAAAACATTCAGCCAGCACGAATGCTTGCCTGCAGGAATTTACGACGGTGCTCTGTCTAATAGTTTTTGAGCCTAATGTGTACGTAATCTTGGCTCACGGCCAAGGCGCAGCGTTTGCGCAGATGCTCCGAGAACATAGTTGATCTTATCTGCCGATAGGACGTCATGCCTCTTTAATACCGTGAGCGGATGATTCAAAGTAAGGTTGCATACCAACATTGAAGCATTTGGCGATGAGAAACTCTTGTTGAGCAAGCATTCGGTAGGTCGACGATGGCTTGTCAGATACCAGAAAGTCCACTACCCATCGCGTTAACAACAGGACATGTTCGAAAATCAAGAAAGAGACCGCTGGATACCGCTCACCAACGTTACCGATAAAATCCGGGAGAGCCAGTTGAAGTACTGGCGTCGTAATAGTAAAGAGAGCAGCCGTGGTCACGATAGATGCAGTGGACAAAAATTTCAGTACGGGCAACCATCCTCCTATGTCCGCTGCATCATCAGCATCCGGTCGCTGGTGTACGGCGAGCATTTTGTATGTGTCCGTGCGGCATTCCGCCATATTGTTAAGAGAGTTAATCAGTGCTGCAAGCGGAAACGCGAGGCCAAACATCACTAGAAAACCATGTTGAATTACAACTTCTCCATAGTCTTCAACCGTCGACCGATACGGAGGCATTCTTAACTCTTCTACGAGATCTTGCGTGTCTGCATCGTCAATCGTAGCACCTGCCGCGAGCAGTTGTATGCGCTGGGTCGTGTCCATTTCTTCAACTAGCTCGCGATGCTCTCTCCTTTTCAGCCACTGAGTGACGCCCAGTTTGATAAATGGCATCCCTACTTCCATGAACTGCTGCACCGTCGCCTTTGTGATGAGCAATGAAGTGAGCAGCGTCCCAAGCTCAACCATGCAGTCCGGAGCTCCAGATGCATCCAAAAGGCAAGGGTCTGATGGCGTGAATGGCTTGACAAACGCGATATAAAACAATGCAATGTAGTCTGTCGCAGTGGTCAGCAAGGTCTGTTCAACTTTCAAAATCGGATTGGATGTGCTTGCAAAGACGCATCAAACTTACTGGACACAAACTGAAAGGCAAATCGCTTGGTAATGATGCTGTTCTCAGACGCCTGAGTCGTACGATGATTCTCCCACTTTGACAGCTTGAGCGTAGCGCGCTTCCAAAGAGGGTCTGCAACTGAAATGATCACCGCCTGTGCCATACCTGGGGCAAACTTGGCAAACGCATGCGAGCCGAAAAGGCCGGTAATGGATTTTTTGAAGAAGAGGTTCAGAAACGAGCACGCGCCCACACATGATGCGAAAAACAGGGTGACCAACGAGCTGATGTAAACGCGTCCCTGGACGTCGCGCTTACTGGCATACGGAAAGACCGGCAACGACGAAAAGGTCAAGCCCGTAATCGGGGCGTCCAGCACAAAGTCTGGGTCATTCCCGCCGCCAATCCGAATGACGTCCTCGCCACTCGGCTCGAACGCGGCATGCGCGCCCGTCACTCGCAGCAGCTGCCCGCGGATCCTCGATCGCAGCCCCGGCTCTCTGGCGCGTTCGAAATCGTCCGCAGCCGCCCTTTCCGGACCAAGATCCTCCAGGTTGACAAACCCGCCGCGGCAATAAAAACCTTGCCTATCATCGCCTTCGAAATCGGCGCGAATGTCGTTTTCGTTGTCCTCGTAGAACTTGTCCAACCCCCACTTGACGTTGAGCACGGCGTTCCTGCGCTTCCAATAGTCGAGCCAATAGGTCCCCCAGAAGCACAAGCCGAGTGCAATCACACGTTTTAGTTTTAGTTTTGGCCGTGTACTGCCCGAAGAACGTCTCAACGTTCGAATCTTCATGAGATTTGGCAGCGGGACACTGCCAAAAATTAAAATTGTGTAAATCTACAAATTATGTATTAATCTAAACATTATTTAAAATTCAACAAATTATTTATTTATTATCAGTATTCATGCAGAATTGAACTCGCGACCAAAAGAAAGGGTAGCAGGGGAGTGGTACCGAAGCACACTACCCCTGCTGAAACCCCTTCTCCATCGCCCCGCCTTTGCGTGCGCACGACTACCGACCTTTCTGGCGGTGCCAGAAGTAAATTTCCAATCAATTTATATCCGACGATTTCGTGCTACAGTATCGGCCCCCCCCTTGATTAGTGAAAATAAAGACAGATTATAATGTTAAAGAAATAAATGAACTTTTCTGTATCGGCCCACCGCCCACCCTTGCAATTCAATAAAATTCCTCCCGTGCGCAATTTTACACGTGGCTGCAGTCGAGGCATTGCCCGCCCCAGCATTTAATATCCGACGCTCCTCTGCCAACAGGGGGCGCTGCAACTCCTGCAGCCCAGCCTCCCCCCTCTTCGTAACCTCCTGTTCCGCTTTCCACCACTTCCGGACGTCAGCTCGCGCTGCAGAAGCGTCTCCACCCGCACGGCGACAGCTGCACCCACGACTCCGTCGTCCGCGCAGACGTGCCACACACCCGTGGTGCGCCTGCCCCACACGCGGGCCGCTGCCGTCGCGCCGGCAAAGTTGATCGCGGAGAAGAGGCTGGCTCGTGCACAAAGTGCAGGGGGAGCTGATAGGACAGCCGATCTGCACCGCCAGATTGCGCGCTCATCCCTCACGTGGTCATCAAGACGCACGCCGAGTTGGTGGCGCGCAACGCCGTCGACCTCTTGTCTCCGCCGACCCTTCCGCCCTCCATGAGCCCTTCGTACAGCTGCCTCTTGTCCAGCTCGCCCTCCATCCCGTCCCTGCTCTTCGCCGACACGTTCGCCCTCCGCAAGTACCTCCCGATCCAGCGCACGCTCGTACAGCTCCAGGGCGCGGACCTCGTCCATTTCCACTCCTTCCGTGCCGTGGTGTAGCAGCAGACCAAGATTGTCCAATGCATGCACGTAGTCCCTCCTGTCAATCGCAAGCTCGTACAGCTCTGAGGCCCGAACCCCGTTCTTCACGACCCCCCCGAGCCGTCCTGCAGTAAGAGGCCGAGATGCACCATCTCCCATTCGTACAGCGTTAACCGCGTTCGTCTCGACTCCCTCAGTGCCCTTGTGAAGGAAGAGACCGAGATTGACCATCGAAGCGACATCATTACCCTTCTCGATCGCACGCTCAAACTTGTCTATGCCGTGTTTCCCTCGAATCCCTCCACATCATATGCCAGCAGCGTGCCGAAATTGAATATAGAATGGACATGATCTTGTTCCTCAATCGCCCTCCTCTATAGTTTGACAGCCCGCGCTCCGTCCTTCCCAACTCCGTCGTTCCCATCCCTCATTACGTTGCCAAGCTTGTATATCGCGTCGACACACAGGTGTACTTCGATCGCACGTTCGTACAACTACACGGGGCAAGCCGCGTTCCTATCGACCCGCTCTGCGCTCTTCTACAACAGCAAGCCGAGAGCGACCATCGCGGTGACGTCATTCTTGTCGATCGCGTTTTCGTACAACTATGCAGCACGGACTGCATTCATGTCGACCCCGTCTGCCCCCTTCTCCAGTGGTGTGCCGAGGCTCACCATCGCGGCGATATGACCGTGATCCCCAATCGCACGTAGGTCCTCAGTTCGATCCCTCTCTCCATCTACTTTTTGATACGTACTTATCTCTCTGCTTAACCGCAGTGTTGGAACACCTCCCGTCGACTTCCCCAATGAAATTGAACTCAAGAACCTCCTGAAGTTGGCTTGACCATTTTCTTCCGACTGCTGTGAAGTTTGATAAGAAGATCTTCTCTGTAGCTCGTGCCACGTTTGATCATCTTAACGTAGTATTTCATTCGTTCACGGAACTGAACGTTTTCATCGTGCTTCTTCTTTGGTCAACGTAGTCAAGTTCTATGGCTGTACGACGATGAGCTGCCAGAAAAGGGTCGAATCGATCATTCTTGGGAGTACCTTGACACTTGTGTGTGCTGAGTAGCTGTGGCAATGGAAGGCGTGTCGGCATTAGGGAACATCGGAGCGTCGAGCATGGTGATATATGAGCAGTGGCGGGCTCGGGTGTGGGAAAGGAAAGAGGTGTCCGACCCCGACTACCTGCCAACCGAAAACGTCAACCTCTTTTTCGATATATGTTACAAACAATTGCGACATGCTGGATTTTTTTGAAATCATCCGCCTGCACTGTTGCACAATCGTGCCTGTAGCAGCTAGCATTCCCACGCACAGAGAGCGACCTTCAACAATGCTTTGAGGTTCGGTGGCGATTTTTTTTACGATTCGCGATGTGGGCAAGCTGGGCACCATGCTCATCTGCTTCGTCCAGGTCATGCTGTGCGGCTTCGACGTCGTCTAAGGTATGAGAAGACACCGTCACTGCCCCCGTCTGCTGGTCGTGCTTAGAGTGAGGCGCGGCGCAATTTACGTTGAACATGCCAGCGCAAGAAATGCTTGGTTGTTCGGGGGAGGCACAGACAGACGGATCACTGGGAATTCATTGTTGTGTACTATTCGAACTTTTTTTGGTATGGCACTAGTATTTACGTTCTATTACAAGCCTCCAGGTTTGAGTACTACCCCTCGCCGTCGATCCTTATCGGATCAAACTGGGAAGACGTGAGCTCGATAACGCCCACCAAGCCATCGCACACATCTCCGATCCACTCGCAGACATATTTCTTGAATGCTGAAGGTCTGAGAACGACTCGGTCGCAGTCCTTGCCCTCCTTTATCGAATACGGGCAGACGTACGAAAAGGTTATCTCCCTCGTATCGTTTGCATGCTCAAAAGTCTCCCCGCTGGCATCAGAGATCAGAGTCTTCTCCAGCTCTTCTGGAGCAACCCTCTCAACTATTTCGCGCAACGTTTCGTGAATACCCAGCGTTGCTTTTGGTAACAAATGTGAAAGCACCTCAGTGAACATGGCGTGCGAAACTCCACCTTTGCTCAGAACCTTCAGCAACGCAGAGTGTATATTGCTCTCCTCTGCACCATCGTCGGATAATTTTGTCGCAATGCCCAGCGCTGTCCTCGCCAGTGCCACCTGCATTACGCAGCGCGTCGCGATCTAGGCATCGAGGCGGGCGAGTGTCAAAATTGATGCTACGCCAGCCCTGAGGCGCTCTTTTCCCAATCGTAGTCCAGCCCACTCCTTGTAAATATCCCGAGCGGTGTCAAAAACGAACAAGATGTCAACGCCACTCTCTCCAATATTATCGCTCTCTGAATGCCCAGGCGGCACTACTGTACGCCAGTGGTCTAGGCTACCAGAGGTAATACAGAAAATACATGCTCGCATAATTTTGTCGATCCCGCCGCTGTCGTCATCTGCAAACGCAATTCCCATCATTTTCACGTCTTCGCCAGCAGCATTGTTCAGAGCATGAATGATGTAGTCGACTGAGGCACTCTTCAGCTTGTTTTGAACCGGAATACAACTGACGTCCCACACCTTGGCCACCCTGGTCCAAACCGTTCGCTTGAGGCTGGACATATATGATGACGCCTTGTCAGCCACCTCTGCAGAGAGCTTAGATGCCCCTTGGATGCCATTGAAGATGCATGCGCCCGAAATCTCCTCCTTGGATGCTGCTCTCAGAGCACTGGTAAGCGATCCGCTTTCGAGAGCCATCTTGTATGCAGTGCGAGCCAGAATGGTAGGAGACAATTGCGGCGGTAGAAGTGCGCCGTTTGTAATGCCTAGCTTCGCCACATCGAGTGGTGGTACCGCCGCTCGAGTGCCGCCTCCCAGCGGTCCGATCCCATCGCCTTCAGCGATCTTCAGAGGCGAGGGAACCCACCGATAGTCTGCAATTCCTGGCGACTGCTCCATCGGAGTAAGATTGCGCATGCAACGACGCGCGATGTCATCAGAGGCATATTTCATCACCACGACAAGGTCGCGTTGAAGCGGGGTGATCGTGTCAAGGAATGCCTCGTCCTTTTGACGCTTCTTCTTGGTCGCAATGACTGCGCGCTCGGCAGCGGCGGCAGCCTGGCGTCCTCCACGAGACGAACCTGCAACCAGGACCTCCAACGCAGCCTTGGCATGCGAGAGCTCCATCACCTGCGCATTCAGCCGAGCAACCTCGATCATTAACGAATTGATCTTCTCACCTTGTAGCTTTTTCACTTCTTGCATTGTCTGCATATAAATGTGTTGCTCATCAGCGCTCGCTCTCTCACGGTTGAGCAGTGATGCGATCTGCCGCTGCAGTACAGCTGCGTCGGCACCCGCGGCCGTGTCGCCAGTCGACGCTCCGGCGACAACAGCGGGGGGCGAAGAACTTCGGTCCGGGGGAAGGACATCTGTAGCGCGACTGAGGTTGGGGACCGTAGAATCCAAGTGTAGTGCCACGTTGGTGGCCAGAGGCCCGATTTCACTGTCTAGTCGCTTCGGGATCGCCGCGCTCAAGTCGAGAGCGCTACCATCTCCCTCCCTGCTGTCGGGCTCATGGCTTGAGATTCCGTGGCTTCCGCGGTTGGCTCTTTTCCTTTTACGAGCCACTGAGGGAAGTCCGCAATCAGCCACGGTTCTTGTCTCGGAAGCGAGGCCACGCCGCAATCGCTTGCTTCTCCGGACCGGTGACTCCGGTTCCTCATCCAGCCTCCCCCACCGGCGGCCCACAGTCATCAGGCAGGCCGAAACAGTGGTGCGCCGACGGACCTGAGGTTCAGACCTCAGGAGGATTGGCGAAGCTGCGTGCGTACTCGTCCTCGCCAGACTACTCCACCGCAGAAAATTGCGCCTGCCTGAGGCACTAACTCAAGCTTTACGCCGGCAGTAAATTTTTGCTGGAGTAAATTGCTCATGACCGTTACAGAATTATGTAGCGATAGTTTAATTGCCAAACATTATAGTCAAATTTACGCTAGTAAAGTTGAACGTTTTATTTGAAGCCCTTCTGTAGTCGACGACCATTGCCGCACGCGACGAGCACGTCGGCACGTCAGAGAAAGGCGAGACACGCCTACAAAGAGCTGCGCTACGGCGCTGGGTGAATGCGATCCAAGTTCGCCCGGTTCACATGCGGGATAGAGACAACAACTTTTTCAGCCTTCCAATTTTTCCTGCGAGTCTATCGGGTGGCGTCCAGACGTGACGTGTGGGTCGAGAAAGACGGGAGAAGTACATGCGGCGCTGATCTAGAGGAATTGAGGGCGTGTGTATACTGGTAGCATTTCGCATCTGGCACGAGTGATAGTACTGTACCAAGCAACAGTAGGATGAGTGTGGAGCGGGGGGGTTTCGTGGATTGTCGCTGCGATTGGGGAGACCAGACATGGTGCGTTTCAGGAAGGGGAGAGAGAGGAGGGGTGCGTGGGGGCCATGGTTTGCTGGCGCTGAGTAAGACCAAAGAAGGAGGGAGGCGATGCGGGCATCGGGAATGGTTTGTTGAGGCTTCTGTGGATGTGCCGCGGAGCGATGTTGACCGAGCTTCTACAAGTGGTACATTTGTTATTGCGTAGAACGTCACAGCGAGAAGGGCAATGCTATCGGGAATGGGATTGTGTGTGCAGCTTGAGGACAGTTGGGCAAATGTTTATGGCAGCTCACGTGTACGCAGGTGCATGTGTGTATGATTTTTGCAACTGCCAGGCATTTTGCTTTCTGAAGAATCGTGCATCCTGATTACATCAGCTCTCTTGAGCGGGGAGGCATGAAAACACTTTATCACGATCGACATTGTGGGACGCTCTTTGTCTCGATTGACTCAGTCAGTGTCTTTTCAAGATTTTGACGAGCGGTCCGTATTCTCAGAGTTGTCCCAGCGGTTCCGATTGCAGTGCTAAGGCTGCGATTAAGTAGAAGGAGCATTACGGGTCGTGAGGTCTGTGATCATGCTGGTCTGCAGTGGAGTACCTCATCTTACGCATTGGCTGCTTAAATCGGTTGATGTAGAATCGATGCGTCTCCCATCCACTGCGGATGACGGATGGTTGCGACCTCGTGCCTCTCAACTCATCATCGCAACGAACGACGTGAAGCAAGCCGCGGATTGAGCCGACATACTGCACATCAATGTAAGCGAGATCTGTCATTTCCGTAGACGTTTCAGCTTCGCACGCAGGTGCTCCTGGAGAAACAGTTTCATCTTCTCCCCTCACAGCCCAACGAAGTTTCACGCAGTTCAAGGCGCGGTCAACGGCATCGATTTCGTCCCCGTGAACACGATCGTAGTACCGATTGAAACAAATCTCGATGTCATCTCTCTTCACAGATGCCTCAGCCAGGAGGTGACCCCGTGGCGGGATTTTGATAGCGATAAAAGCCAGTACTTTCGCAATGTAGACCTTTCGAGGCACAATTCCGCCTGTGCCTCCCGGCGGATCGTCGCCACTCTCCTCAATCATGACATTATCCTGTCTCGCTACTTTGCTGCTGTAGTAGCTGTGTGACGAGACGGCACGCTGCATCTCTCTGTCTCCATTGTCCATAGTTAAAATCTCAAATTCGCCAGCACCGCTCTCAGGCGCCTCACAGCCCTTTAACGTTGGGCACGGGAGGCCAGCAACAGATGCAGTAGCGGATCTTTGCACAACAGAGTGAGCCAGTGGGCTGTGCTGCTCTTGGATTGAATCAACATACCACTGCAAACGTCCGGGACCTCCGACATCTTCGCGAAGTTCTTGCTCCGCAATGTTGGGTCCTAGCTGGCCTGAGTGCTGGAGAAGGCTGCCGCATGAACCTGCATGTGCATGAATCTGTGCCCACATCATTATGTCGCCCCCACCAGACAAGCCTGCAGCGTCCTCACGCACCATCTCCTGTTTGATCTTTGTGAGTGATTCCGTCCTTCTGCGCTTACCCATTAGCTTGGCGATGACTTCCTCCCTGAGCGGAAGCATCCGGGTGCTCATCGACCTCGCACTGGTCTCTTGAGCTCCTTGATCAAGCACCAAGCGCCGCATTGCCTCTTCCTGCCTGGTGTCTTTGCGTTTCGAAGTCTTGTCATATGCTGTCTTAAACAGTTTGTGGCTTGCCTCGTACGAGTCCGCGCTGTAGTTTGATAAGCTACCACACATCTTGATATCTGAGACAAGGTGTCGAAGAGCATGGAATTTCGGAAATGCCATACCACTTGCCTGGTACTTGCCAAACACCTCGATTGCTTTGTCCTGGAAATTTGAGATCTGGTCGGCGAGCGCGTCGAGCTCAACTGCAGTGAAGCCAGGCTCCGAGAAGCGGGAGGTAGCTGTAGCCACCAGTTCTTGATAAAGGACGCAAACAGTCGTCAAAGGAGACTTATTAATAGTGCCACAGAGCCTGTCCAACAGAGCAAAGACGAATGGCATGACTTGATCAATGCCGGCGAGGTCTTTGGCCTCAAGCATGGCAACTATCCCTGTTGATGTGAAGAACCCAGAGAGCTCATCGTTTGTCCCGGACTTCGTGAAATCAAACTTAAGCCCCACGCAGGGCGATTCTGCCTGAATACGCTTTAGAAACACGTTACATCTTTTCAATACGTCGACTCTAGCCGACTTGAGCTTTCTTGGACCTCCTTTGGAATTCAGCAGCTCTGTCGTGCTTAGCAATGGATCTTTCAACATTTCGCTCGCACAGACCTAAAGAGTCCGCGATATACCCAGGAAAAAAATTATGCAATGTTTCAAAACGCAGCAGTCTCGGCAGTGCCAGTTCTTCGGTTAGATCCATGAACGGCCACTTCAAAAGGGCAGGGCGAACCGTCGTCACGCCTACCAGTCTCATGTTTTCTTGTAGAGACTTCTTTCTCGCCGTATCACAAGCCTGCTCAGCGACTTCGAACTTATTCAATCGCTGCACAGTGTCCAAGATATTACGTGGAATGCAAGGCTCTTGCGAGGCGAGATCGAGCTTTGCAGTGTACCCCTGAGGGCAGTGCCCGTGCATCGTGCCCTCCACGTCCGATGCTTCGGGCATATCCGCAACATATGAGGCTAGAACAGGGTGGCATTTTCGGACATTTCCCTCTCCATCTGCTACGACTATTCCAGTGCACGATACATCCCAAAGCGGAAGCAAGGCCTCCTTGATTGATGCCTGAAATACACGGCTCTTCGATAATCACCGCTCTTGGACTGAAACTCTTTCTGGCATTACAAAAGTCTGTTCCTCTTCCTCGCGGCACCAATATTCCTCGTCATCGCCGGTAGAGTTGGCAACATTAGTTGCAGCCCGCACGAATTCAACTGGAAAGTACGCAACGATAGTGTCGCCGTTGGAAATGAGCTCCTGTCGGATCGTCTGAGTCATGTTCAGAGAGCAGATATGGAAAGGCAGGAAGGAGTGAGATCCGACTTTCAAAGTCTGGCACGATTTTTCTGAGTAAGCTTGAATCGCTCCGACGAAGCTGTAATTATCAATCCAGAATCCACCGCCATCGCCACTGATGATGAAGTC